TATAGTAAAAATTGAAGGATACTAAGAAGATTTAGAAAAAGTTAAATTCTACTAGTGCATAGTTTTCTTTTTCTAGTCTTCTTGGTTTAGACCGCTTGGTTTCAATGTTCTAAGGCTGCGTATCCAGTATGATTCCTTTTCCTTCCTGGTTTCGGAATTCAAGCTGTGGTTGTTAGTAATAGCGATAAGTGTTTTATCACTGAAAGTGTGGCCAGGGGAGGAGAAGTGTTCTGCGAGCGGGCTTCTGTACAGTTTTTTTGTTATCCAATCAGATCTATGAAGGTTTATCCTTTTGTGTAGCTTTTCAGTTTCTCCGACGTACTGAAGGTCACAGATCTTACATGTGATGAGATAAATCACATTCTCTTTTGATAAGCCTGCAACGGAGTGTATTCGAAAGCACTTTCAGATCACATTTATATTTTGTACATGAGCAAGAAATACATAAAAATTTACAAAAAGAAAAACAAACAAACAAAGAACGGAGGAGAAACTGCTTAGATAATATGTCTTTTTCTACATTTGTATCGATGATTATTTATATAGAAAGCTCATCAAACTTCAATTTTCAGAGACAAATTTCTGTATCGGAAATTCTTTCTGTTCACGATTTTACACGAATATCACACACACAGACTATAATGACAAAAGACTGGAACTTCAATTTGTATAATTTTTCACACATTGGAATAGTTTTCACTTTTCGACATACTTGTACGTACTAGTGCCTTGAAAAAATATACTAAATGAAAATATATCAAGAGATTATTGTTAAGTCAATAAGTCACATCTGGTCTATAGCTTAAAGTCTTCCGATTTCATGTTTTCCTAAATTTAAGTTTTGGAACCGATAAAACAAAATAATCACTCGAACAACGATGTTAAACAATAGGGTAGGTAATAAAAACTAAATTAGACTAGAAATATACGATAAAATAGTGTATACAGGTATCGGATTTGTGGAAACTAACCCGAGAACCAACCACTTGTCAGTCTGGCATGTTATCTAAATAAGAGTCGTTACGCAAGCTCAAAAGTGTATCAACATACAACAAGAGATACAGCAAAGGCATTTACTTTCCATTCGAAATCAAACTGTAACTAAATTATTCCAAACTTTATAACAGCTTCTAAAGCTTCAAGTTACTTGCAACCGACTACAATATTTGGTAAACTGGAATGCTTTGACATACTTATGGACAATTGTTAGTTTCACATGCAAAGAGCTTAAATATATGGCTTTATAATGGACGTTGCGGAAATCGTCGATTCTGGAAAATAAACCAATAAAATATTCCTGACAAAAGTGATAAATTAAAAGCAAAACGAAGATAAATACAGAATTTTCTCAATAGTATGCTTTTAATAAAAACTGCAAAGTAGATCGTTTTCCTTCAAGTCGAAATGATGCAATTAGCGATGTAACCAATTGAATGAATCAGTAGTAAAATGTGCTGTTTACTTAGAAGTGGATAATTAGAACGTGTCTTTGTGTGACTGTCTCATAACCAGACATTAATGTTTTATTACAAATTCAATGCCATCTGTACTTAGCAAGGCAGTACAACCGTACTATATCGTAAATGGATAACTGGGATGCAACTTGGTCTGACTGTGTAGGAAAATGTGTTGTTTAGTCGCAAGTGGATAATTGGCATGTATTGTTGTTTTTTTTGTCCGACTATCCCATAATCAGATAAATGTTTCTGTTACAAATACAGGGCCTCGTGTATCAGCAATGCAGTACATCGGTACTGAAATCTCAAGTGAAACGAAATGTTTTCATGTGGAGCAGCATTTAGAGGCAGTAAAAAAAAATATTCAAGAACATGTTATCTGATTCAAATCGAGACATCAATAAACTTTATCTTCTGGTGACCTTTAAATTTCTTGTTCTACTTATTTTAGATACCCTAGCAGTAAAAGGATTAGAACCGTTATGTTCCGAATGACATTTTTCACTTTCATGATCTTATATTGATGTCCGTCAAATCTCTGTTATGTCAAAGACCTCAATTTTAATCAGAAAGCAAAACTTGTCAGAGTAACAGTCTGCCTTTTTAATGCGAACCAAGCCAATCAGAATACATCTATGAAATGGTGAGGTGTTTGGGGTGGGGGTGGTTTATTATTGGCACAAAAGTTCGAATGCATTCCTATTAGCAGCAAGGGTGTGCTTTCTCCGCCATTTTTGTTCATCAGTGGCAATTTTAATACTGCATCTTGACGAGGAAATGGGAACTAGTACCCTTTCCAAGGACCATGGCAGTTGACCGGGCTGAGCGGATATGGAACCAACGACCCTTGAATTACTAGTCCGATGTTCTATCAAATGAGTTACCGTGGTTCCCTTATAGAAACGAGATAAAATAATGCGACACATGCTACTTACAGAATGTACATACACAACGTTTGGATAAGGGTCAAGCAGAAACTTATCTGCAGAGAAAATGAGAATTTCCTATGTTTATTTTAGAAGAAAAAATATATTGGTCATAGCTGAATTCTGCGAATAAGATATTTTCCACCATTTCGTCCTGATTATTGTTCGTTTTCATTAATCTTCAATGCGCTCGATTTCATCCGATTGTCAATAAATTTGTCTTTAGATTTACATAACGTGTATATATATATATATATATATATATATATATATATATATATATATATATATATATATATATATAACGTGTACACACACAAATATATATATATATATATATATATATATATATATATATATATATATATATATATATATATATATATATATATATATATATATATATACGTGCGAGTTCTTGAGGTATACATGATAATTGTAACAAAACTTTGCTAGCTGAACAAAATTACAAGAAAAGGTTACCTTGAACAATATGTTATGATTTTGAACAATATGTTATCTTTAAGAGGTTCAGTGACATGATCTGAAGTGTAGTCAATATCAATTTATTTCCCTTCATTTCTAAAGACCGTCACCACTGATTGGCACAACTTGATATTAGATCTATTCACATTGACGTCTTATTCTACATAGTTAGATCCCTTGTTAAACATAGTACAAACAAATCCGACCAACGCAGAGTCACTGTATCCATATTTAACTGTAGTCATCAATAGCAAAGTTTGAGAGAGAGAGAGAGAGAGAGAGAGAGAGAGAGAGAGAGAGAGAGAGAGAGAGAGAGAGAGAGAGAGAGAGAGAGAGAGAGAGAGAGAGGGAGGGGGGGCACAAACTCTTTGTCCCACGCAGAAGTTTAAACCATCCAGCAGACCAGTTAACTGTATATTTTGTTTTGAAATGATTTTCTTCCTAGAAGAATTACGCCTTTCATACAAAACGTGTACACTGGTGAACCTTGCCGTCAGTCTGCAAATGCATGCTGCATGCGTAATGTTGCACGATTTTTCCAACACAGTAGAGGTGTACGGTATTACCGATATCGCGACAAGTACCACGATACTTTTTCACTGTTCCTGTACTTAGATCAATTTGGTAGTTTTTGTCCTTAAGGAATGTACTGAAATACCCGAATAATCTTGATGACAGCAAAAGATTTTTTTAAATTTCCAAAATAGTTGTAACGATATGCTTATGAATATTACAAAGATAATTATATTCATGATCATGTTTGGTTTGACACGTGTCATGTGGTGGCCATACGGGATGTAGTGAAGGATGTTCATAATAACAAATGTGATTGTAGTTATTTTCTAGAGTATGTCATGGACAATATTTCTTTTTAAGACTGCTAAATATTTCTGGAAATCAGTTGTATTCGGTTTGAAGTTTGCATGGTTTGTCAAGTCCACTATATATTTTCTCATTGGTTGAATCAGTGTGTTTTATTTTGTGTCCGTCACTGTTGACTATCTTCCCCGGATGCTGTTATCCTACTCAAGGTTTCCCTGCCTATGATTTCAATAATATACCTAGTAAATGGTAGACTTTGATATTAACACTTCTTATTTTTATTAATAATGTCTCTAATGTCAGCAAAATATCTTATACAGGGTATTAGCTATAGTCTGAGTTTAAGCAGCTCACTTTAGTTGTAGTTTTTTTTTATTATAACGTAGATAACAATTAACATATACATAGCAAATTCATCCTTTGTAGACACTGATATTTTAAGGACTGGCTAAGATTTTGTTTGAACTGATATATCTTATTTTCTTTTATCTTCAGATAATTATTTTATTTTCAAGTAATATAATGGAAATTATGTGGTGTTATTTCGCTGTAAATTAAAATAAGATAATTTTCCAGCTGTTGACCGACGAAATAATTTTTAAAATAAAGCCAGGCTTCTGTCTCAGAATCTTACATTCTTGGGCATTAATAACATTTCAGTATTACGTGGATTGTATCTCGGCATGTTCAAAATTACCGCGGTATACCGAGGTTGAAAATTGTTCGCAGCTCTACTAAACAGTTTGGTCAACGACTTCAAACAGTGAAATTGATTTTGTATTTGCGTATTAAAACGGTCTTCGTAAAAATTGAGTTACTCTTCTAATGTGGCGCGGCGAGATTGAGGTAAGTTATAGGGCTGAAATGAATACCAAATTTTTCTATTCAAATATTAGTTAATGTCAATAGAAGTATCAAGTCCATCTCATATCTTTGTCTACTTTGGCATTTATGAACTGTGAACTCAGTCATCTAATTCGAATCAAACTACATTTTATGGCCTTGAGTAAATTTGTTTAGGATTCAAACTTAAAAATCAATGTTGGTGTCATGTTCCTGTGTAACTGCAAAATCATGAAAGGTTACATAAATGCTGAAGATGGACAGTAAAGATAACCAGAAACTGTATTACCTGTTCATTTAAATGTGAGGACAATCTCAAAATTCTCCTGGAATTGTTTGCATGTAGCCTATTTAGTTTAATTAAATTTGGATGCGTTTATTAACTTTGTTCATTTTGATATGACGCTGACTCTGCGCCATGTTCTTCATCATCTCACGATATAGTGCGCATTATCTTTTAAATAGCGACCGGTAGCATAGTGGTTAGAGCATCTGTTTCGGATGCGGGTGGTCGCGTGTTTGAACCCCGGCCGAGTCATATCAAAGATTTTAAAAAATGGTACTAACAGCTTGGTGCTCAGCATTAAGAGATTATTGTTTAGGACTGGTCGGCTTGGTGTCAGGATAATGTGACTGGGTGAGACATGATTCTCCAGTGCTAGACATCACTGCAAACTGTCACACTGCAGACATCGCAGCAATACGACTGAAAAATTGTTAAAGCTACGTTTAAAATCTAAATCACACACACACGCACACACATGCACTTTAAAATAGCGTCTGAGTGATATTGAATCGAAATGGCGTTTTTGTGATTATTGTGAATGTTCATTATTCTGAATTCTGACATTATGACTACTGTTTGAGTCCAAGTGTGACTGTTCAATATTTCGAACTCTGACATTATTATTTCCGAGTATGTCCAAGTGTGACTATTCAGTATTCCGAATTCTGTGATTAATGTACGAGTCCAAGTGTGACTATTCAGTGTACATACTTCTAGGATTACTTTTTGAGTCCAAGTTTGACTGTTCAATATTTCGAACTCTGACATTATTATTTCCGTGTATGTCCAAGTGTGACTATTCAGTATTCCGATTTATATGATTACTGTATGAGTCCAAGTGTGACTATTCAGTGTACATACTTCTATGATTACTGTTTGAGTCCAAGTTTGACTGTTCAATATTTCGAACTCTGACATTATTATTTCCGTGTATGTACAAGTGTGACTATTCAGTATTCCGAATTATATGATTACTGTTTGAGTCCAAGTGTGACTATTCAGTATTCCGAATTCTATGATTACTGTATGAGCCCAAGTGTAACTGTTCAATAATTAGAATTATGACATTATGATTACTGTGCGAGTCCAAGTGTGAATTTCAGGTGATTTAGCAGGTCTGAAGTATACATTTCAACTTTTTTCTTTCAAAAACATAAAAATGGCGCCAACTTGCAAGTAAACAAACGAGTATTCGAACAACAATTTTACATTCACATGTTCGCAAAACTGTATAGGAGGATCTGTGATTCGAATGTTCGGTAATTCTTTTCAGCTCTATTAAGGTGTGCGAGGTGCGGCTTTGTGTACAAGGAAACACTAATTGATATGCACACTGTAAGGACAATGCTGATGTGCAGTAAATAGCTAGTTAAAGGTATGTGTGTCACCCTTCTATACATAATTTTCTATTTAAAATTCATTTGTCTTGCTGATGCTAAACACCTCTAACCAGGGTATATTGATACAGGTCACGATCATGATTATCTTCACCGCAAAAGTTTTCGAACCCGGATTAAAAGTCTGTCATCATTTAGTCCCACTGTTTGTTTGGTTGTTAAGTTCGCCAACTGTTTCCTGTAATTCAACACAAGGACAATACTATGGCGAAATTTAAACATTGTATTTATATAGCCGATCGAATCAGTCGTGAATAGTTCTCTTTATCAACTGCTCTCGCGATACAAATACATATTAAAATGAGATAAGTTTGTGTACATAAATTTAATTCAGAACGTCGCCGAGTACAGTGGCCTTTTTCGGTAGATAGGTAGAGGGGATATCAACATACGTAACTAAACACCTATATCATCCTGTCCTGTTTACCCTGGTGCTATACTGAAGGAAGACATACCCGGTGTGTACGGCGTATTTAGCCAACAGATGTGTGGGTACAGGTCATAAAACAGCAATTATGGAACAGCTACGATAGATACATAGGCCATGTCAGTTAGAAAGTGGTTTTCATTTCATGTCGATCCATAGTACTGTGGGATGTTTCCGTTCTTTAACTGAGGATTATGGATGGTTCTCCAAGCACGGTAAGCTATTTATATATAACCCCTTTGTATACAAAACACAGTTGAAAGAGGACAACGTTTTCATAAAATGGACAAAAAACCTAACAAATTTATTTTGTTGTTGTTGTTTTGGGGTCTCACGCCAGTTTTCAGCACACGATAGTATTAATGGCGCCGAATCCTGGACTCGAATCCATGCAGACAGAGGTGAGATGGCAGCAATCCGTAACGGACAGCGGCCTAGACCACTCGGCCACCTTATTTTGATGATTAGTCATTGCTTATAAGTAATATATTCCGCTGTAAAGAGATTCAGAACTGAAATTGTTACTATATGAATCAAAATGTACCCGCTCATAATGTACTGGACAGACCTTACCCAGGTTGTTCATAGTGTACTGAACAGGCCTAGTCCGATAGTTCCTAATGCTCATGACAGGCCTAACGTTGATCAGTCATAACGTACAGGACATACTAAACCCAGATCGTTCATAATGCTCATGACAGGCCTAACGTTGATCAGTCATAACGTACAGGACATACTAAACCCAGATCGTTCATAATGCTCATGACAGGCCTAACGTTGATCAGTCATAACGTACAGGACATACTAAACCCAGATCGTTCATAATGCTCATGACAGGCCTAACGTTGATCAGTCATAACGTACAGAACATACTAAACCCAGATCGTTCATAATGCTCATGACAGGCCTAACGTTGATCAGTCATAACGTACAGGACATACTAAACCCAGATCGTTCATAATGCTCATGACAGGCCTAACGTTGATCAGTCATAACGTACAGAACATACTAAACCCAGATCGTTCATAATGCTCAGGACAGGCCTAACGTTGATCAATCATAACGTACAGGACATACTAAACCCAGATCGTTCTTAATGCTCATGACAGGCCTAACGTTGATCAGTCATAACGTACAGGACATACTAAACTCAGATATTTCATAATGCTCATGACAGGCCTAACGTTGATCAGTCATAACGTACAGAAGATACTAAACCCAGATCGTTCATAATGCTCATGACAGGCCTAACGTTGATCAGTCATAACGTACAGGACATACTAAACCCAGATCGTTCATAATGCTCATGACAGGCCTAACGTTGATCAGTCATAACGTACAGAACATACTAAACCCAGATCGTTCATAATGCTCAGGACAGGCCTAACGTTGATCAATCATAACGTACAGGACATACTAAACCCAGATCGTTCTTAATGCTCATGACAGGCCTAACGTTGATCAGTCATAACGTACAGGACATACTAAACCCAGATCGTTCATAATGCTCATGACAGGCCTAACGTTAATCAGTCATAACGTACAGGACATACTAAACCCAGATCGTTCATAATGCTCATGACAGGCCTAACGTTGATCAGTCATAACGTACAGGACATACTAAACTCAGCTATTTCATAATGCTCATGACAGGCCTAACGTTGATCAGTCATAACGTACAGAAGATACTAAACCCAGATCGTTCATAATGCTCATGACAGGCCTAACGTTGATCAGTCATAACGTACAGGACATACTAAACCCAGATCGTTCTTAATGCTCATGACAGGCCTAACGTTGATCAATCATAACGTACAGGACATACTAAACCCAGATCGTTCATAATGCTCATGACAGGCCTAACGTTGATCAGTCATAACGTACAGGACATACTAAACCCAGATCGTTCATAATGCTCAGGACAGGCCTAACCCTGATCGCTCTTTATGTACTGTAGAGGCATAAACCAGACTGTTCGTAATGCGCTTGACAGGCCTAACCCAAACTTTTCGTAATGCACCAGATAGGCCTAACCTGGATCGTTCATAATGCACGTGGCGGTCGTAACCCAGATCGTCTATAATGCACATAACAGTCCAACTCAGGTCACTCTTAATACGCAGGAAAGGTCTTGCCATGTTTGCTTATAATGCACAATCTACATGCCTAACGCTGGTTGCTCGTAATACACGTGATGGACCTAACCCCGATCGCTAATAATGCCAGGACAGACATGACGCTTATCGCTCGTAATTCAAAGGACAGGTCTAATGCGAATGAACAAGAAATCATTTGTGCATAAAACTCAATTTCAAGCTCAAAATCAGATATGGTATTTAGAATCCACCCAGGTCATGAAAATTTGGTAGTCTAGTTGAGAACCCCAGCTTGGACAAATTTAAACAATTTTTGAGCAGAAATAAAGAGTTTTGTAATAACCATTGCCAAGAACTGAGCCATTGTTTCGTTTGAGAAACATCGTCTAGCCTGAATGGCGTTTTTTTTTGGGGGGGGGGTAGTTGGATTCAAACGCTTTGTGTGACCACAAAGAGCAAGTATTATGATAATATTTGTCATATAAGGCTGAAGGTGCATCATGTTCATCATTAAGCATTTGTTTGGCTCCATTAAGTTGAAACCAGTATATTCAAAATCACTCATCCAAAGAGACATTAGGCACATGCCAGTCATTCAAAGCAACTGTCGAAGATCCCTTTATAGACAAGTAGAGTAATTAAATCAAGAGGAATTTGACTTTACTATTTCAGTGTCATGATGTTTCGTTTTAAAATGCTTTGTGGGTTTGTTTTGGAATCGAATTATCAACCAATTTACCTGTTTATATCTAAAACGTTCATGTAAAAAATCATGAGGTCGGGTGCGTGAAGTACAAAAATTGAGCGTATGGTAGCGCCTCTTCGAAATTTGAGATCAGGTAGAGAATCATTCCTCCAATGACTGCATTCTTTTTAAATATTGAAAAACAACAAAAAATTTAATTTGGAAGACAAAAATCAATGCGTATGGTATTATGCTGTTGAAGTAGAGTTCACATCATCCAAATATGTCCCATCCAGATGGAATTTTTCTTACAAAATTAGTATTTAATTATAGAAATACGGCGTCTTAAGCGTTATTGTTTATCCACTTGCGTGAGTAGGATTTGGATATGGATTTTGTTCAAAGTAGTTAACAATGTTTCAATCATGCCTCATCGATGTCTGCAGTGTGGCAGTTTATAGTGTGTCTAGTACTGAGGCATCGTGCTGCACACATGTAGCATGATGTCCCTCCAGTCACATTATCCTGGCACCAAGACGACCAGTCCTAACACTAACCTCTTGATCCTTGTTACGAGTCTATGCTCTTACAATACGTAACAAAAAAGAGTGAAGACGGCAAGCTTTGTAAAATTTAACAAATTATTT